AGGCGGAGAGGAACGGAAATAGATTTGAAAGCCTCGGACGTGAGGAACCCAGGCTGAGAACTTCGAATTTGGATTTTTATTGGGAAGGGACAAAAACCGGGGATGGGAGGGAGGGAAGAAGAGACTCTTAAAAACTCTCAAGACTTTTAGGTTTGGTTAAGATGACTCTTAATTAAGATAAAATGAAAATCGATGGAAGAGAACTTAAGTCCAACTTATGAAAACTAATTTTTATTATAAAAAAAAGGAAATAAGATGAATAAGATTGTTAAGAGGAGAAATATCAACTTGCTGACATAATCTTGAAACTGGGATGCATTAGGGGGGGTGGGGGGAAGTCAGGGAACAAGGTTATGAAATGGGGATTTGCTGACTTTATACATGTTTTTGTCTTTGTTTTTTCTTTGTGTATGTTTTGTCTTTATAAAAGCAGAAAACCAAATAAAAATTTTATTAAAAAAAAAAAAAAGGAAAAACATCCTTCATGCCCATCACAGATATACAAAGGGGCTGCTGGAGGAAGGTAGGGCTCTCTATCCTTTCTCAGTCAACCTTCTTGTCCCCAGCAAGCTAGCAATTTTTCCTGGACTTATTTACCAAGTTGCAATTGGTCACATCTCCAGGGCAAGTAGCAATGGTCAGTTCCCAGCCAACATGACCAGCATAGCCACTCTTTTATCCTCTATGAATTTGTCCCAACACTTATAGTCATCACTACATCTTATGGCAGCGAATTCAAGCCATCTTGCATCAACAGGCACGTGGCACATATTTACAGACCTGGTGAAACAGTTTATATAAAGTATAACCTGTATAAACAAGTCTAAAATCACTTACTTGTCTGTTCTGTCCAGGCCAGAGACACCTTTTTCTCTTTAAGTATCAGCCATGGAGAGAGATATTGCTGCATTTTAGATTGTCAATTTGACCAATTACCAATTTAAAAAACGACAGGCTACACTTTATCCAGTTTTTTTAAAAAAATCTTCATTTGCGTCAGCCACAAGCCACAGCGAAGGAATAAATAAAATGCAGATATAGCTAGATGGTTGGCTATACAAAATATGTTCCGAAAAATTACGACTATACAAATAGAAGAGTTAATAACTGTCCTTGACCATTTATCCAGTTTGATTTCATTTCTTTTATCCCCTTCGTCCTCCAACGAGGCCCCCCCCCCCACTCATCCTCACAATAACCCTGTGAGGTAGGCTGGGCCTGAGAGATAGTGGTTGTGTGAACGGGAGAAGAGCTAACCCGCAGATCTAATCCGGAGGCTGCATACAAACTGCATTTTAAAGCACATCTCCCCCCCTTCAAAAGAATCCTGGGCGCTGTAAATTTTAAGACTGACAGAGTTACAATTCCCCAGCAATTCCTTAAAAGTACGACGCCCATAATTCTTTTAGGGAGGAACAAATATGCTTCGGGCGGGCTTTAAAGGTGTAGGGAAAGTATATAAATTCAATAAATAATATTGATATTGACATATATCAAGCGCGACTTTTTTGTGTTCAGGGACCTGAGGAAGCCCGCTTAACAAATAAAAGAGCCCCGAGAAGAGCCATGCCCTAAAGAACGTGGGAAACCAAAGACGCGTGTGCGAATCCCGAGTTTTATTTTTAACGGCGAGGGCGGAACCCTCGGCGCCCGCAAGATGGCGCTGACAGGCTTGAAGGAAACGGCGCTCTCCGCTCTCGCGAGGCCCGGAAGAAGTGGCCGCTTTGCCAACGGCTACTTAGCGAGGTCGCGGACTCCCTGCTGCTACGGAGCCGCCCGCGCGGGGACACAGCGAGAAAGGGAGCCCCCGTTCGCGCGAGAACACTCACTGAGAGGTGATGTCGAAGCGGACGTCCCTGTCTTCCCACAGCGAGTCCGCCGTGGCCGCCATGGTGACCGCCGGGCCCCGTCTCGGCGTCCGTGCGCCGTTCCTTGGCAACTCCCCGACGGGCGCCGGATGGGGACAAACTTCCTCGGCGCGGCGCGCGAAGAAGCCTGTTGTGCGCATGCTCCGGGCTTCTAGGGCTGTGCGTGCTTTTCTGCTGCAGGCGATCCGCGCTCTCGTTAACGACGCTTGGCGGATCAAATTAGGGATGCCAAGGCGCGCCTGCAGGGTGCATATAGCAAACTGGTTTCCTGGGCCCCTAAGCATGCCAGGCGGCCGAGCCAGCCTCCCAGGGCTCTTGCAAGGAGAAAAGTGGGGAGAGCAATACTGGTATGCCGTCTGGAGTTCCCTGGAGGAAAGGCGGGGTATCAATAATAAACGTTCCATCGAACCCAGTTGGTGCGCGTTGTTTTCTAACAAGATTTAAAAACCTCCTCAGAAAATTTGCCTGGCTGGGACTAGGGATGACGCCCCTTTCGGAGGGAGGGTTATCTCCCAACAGCTAGCCGAAAGATGGTCAAAACCTTACTTATAGGAAGGATTCTGGTGGTCCCTAAATGAACATTCCTTTATTGAAATGATTTAAAATGCTTTGCTTCTATTTTTCTAGGGTAATTGCATTTTTCTTTTTTCTTTTTTTTTTGTTTTAGTGTTTGGCGGTTTTATGGTTTTTTAAAAAAAAGTAAATGTCAAGTTGTTTTTAAAAATAATTATTTAAACATGTTTTCAGCCCTTGGGCTACTTGAGGAAAGGCAGGGTATTAAATGTGTTAAATAAAATTAAAAATGTCTAGGCTTTCAGAAATTATTATTGCCATGAAATATCACTAAATACTATTATTGTGACAACAGGTATTCTGTTAGTTGGTGGAAAGGTGTGCATGCATATCAAATACAAGTTTGAGATGCCAGCAACTGCAATATTTTTAAATAATGTACAATGTGTCTAAAGTTAAGATTTTTGTTAACCACATGTGTGTGGTTGCTGAGAAATCCCACAGACTTCAAAAGGACTTTCTCTTAAGTAAGCATGCATAGATTGCAACATTAACATTAAATCCACAAGGCACTTGAAAGATCCAAATAAACTTATGAATTGGACAGAGACTACAGCCTGTATATAAATCTATTTTGAAAGAAGATTATTATTTATTCTTGGTTACATTTTTCACAAAAGCAAACATTCAGTTCTAAATATCTTCCTCATATGAAGTGATTAAAAGACACAGTGACTTTTAATAAACACAGTGAGATGAGATGTTAGTTTTGCAGATTTCTCAGATTTTTCTAGTGGCACAGAAATACACTTAGTGCAAAAAGTATTTTGGTATATTTTATGCATAAAGTACCTCTTGCACGTTTAATGCTGATAAATGTATGCTAGTAAACAAAAACAAAAAACCTGGAATGCAGATATTTATGGGCATATGCTGACAGAGGTAACAAATTAACAACCCACTTTGAAACATATATACAGCACTGGTGTATCTACCTGCAGCGCCAGTATTCTACTGAGCAAGCAGTAGTTTTGTGAAACTAGCATGGCATAGTGTTTGATGCCCACATTCTAATCTCTTATATTTTGGCTCAGCAAGTTTTAGGACTGAGCCATATTAATATACAATTTATTTGGATACATTTAATGTAGCTTTACAGGTAATTTTGCCATGCTGCCTGCTTGTCAATATTTCACTTTCAGCAGCATAATTGGAATGCTATGAGCTATTTTACAAGTAACACTCTTAACCATGTTTTGCTGCTATATGCATGAGCTGGAACCAACTAGTTTATCAAGTGATGTAAATGACCAAGGAGTTTGTTAGTGTAAAATAATGTTTTTAGGATTAACTTGTGCAACCCTAACCTGTGCAATACTCCTTTCTCAGAAGTACGCTTCTATTTTGGGGTTAATTGCAAATAATTGTGCATAGGGTTGCAGCCTTAAAGAAGTATCAAATTTCTACCCCTGAGTAACATTTACCTGCAGATTCCAACAGATAGAAATCCTCATTTATTCCGGAATATAGTCCACAGGCAAACTGAAAATTGTGGAGCGAGAATTTGATGTGTGTATAAGGAAAGGGGTAACTACGGGTTATAGTTTTGCTGGCCCTATTAGGTTCTTGGAGGCTGCTAGCTCTTGGGAAAGTCCTATAAAGAGCCATCATACAGGAATTCATAACATTTCCTGGCAAAACATAAGTACCATATAGCTTTCTAGATTCCCAGGGGTGAAACTACATATTACCAGGAAACAACAGGGTTCTTAACATCATGTTTCTACCATGAGTTAAATGAGACCCTTTTGAATTGGCAAATCACTCCTCCCCATTGTTTCCTGGTTATTTATTGCCCCGGCTGAGCTCCTAAATTAAAAGCGAACGTGGCAGGTGGCAGGGTAAAATCAGCCTCAGTATGGGGAAGTTTCTATTCACAATATAAGATACAACGTTTATTTTTGTTTTGTTAATGTTTTACAATCTACAAAGCATGCACGATTGTTTCAGATGTGAAGGGTGTTATCCAATGATATGGTTTCTGTGAGTAGAACAGAAAAGGAAGCAGCTTTCAGAAATCTCCCCTCCCCCCTTGTTGGCCCGCCAAACCACCTAAATCAGCTCTAAATCCAACCATTTGAAGCAGATTTAAAGGCTGTTTTCCTTCCCATTCCCATGACACAAGGCCTTGCTGTCAGCTGAGCAGTGTGATGATACAATCCAAACGTATGTGTGGCCTCAGTATGTGTCTTAACATTGCACCTGCATGTAAAGCTCTGTTTCGGAAATAGAAGATAGACTGCTCCATTGACTTCAGTAGGACTACAGTGGAATAAGTGGTTTGAGGGATACCGGTCATCTTTCCTCTTGTTAATCAAGTACAAAATACAAAAAGATCTTAATACATTTGCACAAAATCTCCCCTCTCTTGGCTAACAATCTTTTCTGTTGAATTCTGCTCGGTGAGCGTCT